AGTTCTTTATCTCTTCATTTGATGTTTTAGGGTTTCAGGATTGTTGTATTCTCTGTTCGGCTTAGTTTTTCGGATCTTTGCTGTGGAGGGACGGCATGGTGCTTCTGCCTAGAGCGCCATTTTGCCAGAACTCAGCAAACTTTTTCTTCAAGAGCCAGACAGTAAATATTTTAGGCTTTGTAGGCCATATGCTCTCTGTCACAACTACACAACTCTGCTGTTGTAGCACAAAAGCAACCACAGACAATACACAAATGAATGTGCATGGCTGTGTTCCAATAAAACTTTATGGACACTGAAATTTAATTTCCTATAATACTCACACGTATTAAATTATAAGTGACTTTTTTAATTGAAATTTTTTCTCAACCATTTAAAAATATAAAAATCACTCTTAGCTTACAGATTGTAAAAAAACAGGTACAGGACCAGATTTGCTCAAGGGCCATAGTTTGCCAACCCCTCCCCTAAACTATTAAACAATCTTTGGATGGGTCAATTTAAAAATTCTCTTAACATTTCATCGAAAGGACACAATGCCCTCCTTTTGCCTCATTTCCAGTTCTATATACATTTTCTTAACAATTTGGTCCAGGCACTTAATAGACTTAAAGTCTTAGGAAAACAAGACAGAGGAAAGTACACAAAAAGTAATACACTGTCTACTCCATGCATTCATTTATTCACTTATTGATTAAACAATGAGCTGACACTGTGCTAAATCTGTTATAAAAAAATGTGTCACATTTTAATCTTCAAGCACTCTAGGAGATAGTAACTATTGTTATCTTCATTGAACAGATGAGGAAATTGAGGCTTGGAGAGATTGTCTCAGTCAAAATCAGACAGCTAGTAAGTAGTGAGGTCAGTTACTTTCAGTGTACAATAAAATGTGGTAACTTAGTAAATATAATGGTGGCTAGTATTCCTTCTAAATCATCTCATAGGACTGTCTGCAATCCTTATATAGACAACCCAACATGGTTGAGCACAGGAGGCCCAAGTTCAATAATTAAAGATGTCATAAATTTTATAAAGTGGCTAGTCTTAAGAGATCGGATAATGAGGACTTTTGCTTTGCTGACGATTTAGTTCAAATAATTCAGGAGGAACTTGTTTTTAATCAGCAGAGCAAGGCCAATAATATTATTTAAAAAAAACAAACAAACTATCTCATGGCTTTGATTAAGTCTGTTACAAATGAAACTCCAGCAGCAAAAGACAAAATAGATAAATTGGACTTTATCAAAATTAAAAACCTTTGTGCATCAAAGAATTTTATCAACAGTTAAGAGGATCTACAGGTTGGGAGAAGATTTTAGGGAACCATATCTCTGGTAAGTGTTTAATATCCAGAATACACAAAGGAGTCCTACAACTTAAAAGGCAACCCAATAAAAAAATTAGCAAAGGACTTGAATAAACATTTCACCAAAGAGAATATACAAATGGCCAACAAGCACATGAAAATATGCTGAATGTCAACAGTCATTAAAACAAACTAAACTCACTGCCATCAAGTTGATTCTGACTCATAGCAACCCTATAGGACAGAGTAGAACTGTCCCATTGTGTTTCCAAGGCTGTAATCTTTATGGAAGCAGACTGCCACATCTTTCTCCTGCAGAGCAGCTGGTGGATTCAAACCCCTGACCTTTCAGTTAGCAATAAAGTACTTTAACCACTGTGCCACCAGGGTTCCTTCATTAGTCATTCCAAAAAAAAAAAAAAAAAAAAAACAGCCAAACCTGTTGCCGTCGAGTTGATTTCAACTCATAGTAACCCCTGTAGTCATTAGAGATGCAAATGAAAGCCACAATAAGAAAGCACTTCACTCCCACTAAAATGACTATGATCAAAAAAATGAAAAACATCCGGTGTTGGAGAGGATGTGGAGAAATTGGAAACCTCATCCACTGCTGGTGGGAATCCAAAATGGTATAGCCACTATGATAGAACTACCATATGACCAGTAACCCCAGTTCTAGGTATTGTCAAAGAGTAAAGTTTCTGAGTCTATTGAAAGACAAGTAAAGAGTTTTATTGAGGGACTATAACGATTTGAATGGGGCAGCATTCAGGAAGAATTTCCGAAATGCTCGGTCATTCTGGAGACAAAGCTGAGTTTTTATTCACAAAGTTAGGCATGATTAATCCCACAAATGTTTCAAAAACAGCTCTTTCTTCATATCAGTTAATGTTATCTCCTTCCAGAAGACCATCTGTGCAAAACATTCTTTCTGAGGACATCACATGTGTATCACAGGCTTCCTGGAACATTCTAAGCACATACTTTTCTTTCTGTCTCCTTCCCCTGCTTACTCAGAGTCATCTGAATTGACCCTTTATTGAGAGCCTAGTCATCAGCCATCTTGGCTTTGCTGAGAGCCTCAGTTTGATTTTAGAAACTCCTTATCGGTATATTCCCAAAAGAATTGAAAGCAGGAACACAAACAGAAACCTGTACACCAATGTTCATTGCAGCCCTATTCACAATAGTCAAAAGGTGGAAATAACCAACATGTCCATCAGCAGATGAATGGATAACAAAATGTGGTATATACATACAATGGGATATTGTTGTTAGCTGCTGTGGAGTTGACCTCGACTCATGCACAACAGGCTCCAACTACAATGATCAACAGAGTACTCAGCTATAAAGAGAAATGGAATCTTAATACATGCTACCACATGGATAAACCTTGAAAACATTATGCTAAGTGTAATAAGTCAGTCATAAAAATACAAATATTGTATGATCCCACTTATATAGGCAAATCTATACAAACTAAAGTTTATTAGTGGTTACCAGGAATGGGAATGAGGGGGAAAGGGGGAAGTCATTGCTTAGAGGGCACCGAGTTTCTCTTAATGGTGGTGGAATAATTTGGAAAAGGACGGTGGCCATGGTTGCACAACATGACGAATGTAATCAATGTCACTGAATTGTGTATATAAAAATTGTTGAATAGGCAAAAGTTTTGTTTTATATATGTATATATATTTCTTTCTTTTTTGCCACAATTTAAAAAAATCTCAAGGATAAGATCGGAATGTGACCTTTCAGAATGGAAAATGTTGATGTTGAGAAAATGTCCCCACCTCCTTCATATTATGTAAAACTTGGGAAACAAGCATCTGATTTCTACCAAATCAGACTGGCCTTAGCTTGCAAGATCTGTCCCATTTTGTGTCCATTTGCCAGCAGAGTTGTATGGGAGTCAGTAGGCTGGTCAATAAGCAGAGAGCGTGTGTTAAAAACAACCTAATAGCCCAAGTTTTGCTCTGTGCCATAGTAGGCTTTAATATATATTAGTTGAGTGTTGTCTTGAACTGTTAAATTGTGTATTAACAACTTTAATGTGCCCTATTTCCCCAACCAGACGGTACTTTTCTAGAGGGCAAAGTCTTGTTAATTCCACTTCCTAAATACATTTTTATGGGAGTCTCTGGGTGTTACAAATGGTTAATGTGCTCTCGGCTGCTAACCAAAAGGATGAAGGTTAAAGACCACCCAGAGATGCCTTGGAAGAAAGTCCTGGTAACCTACTTCGAAACAGTCATTGAAAACCCTATGAAGCACATTTCTACTCTGATACACATGGAGTTGCCATAAGTCAAAATCAACTGGACAGCAACTGGAACTGAAAAGAAAAAAAATTATCTTTCAAATCAGTTCCCTCCTCACTATCCTTACTTACTTTATTTTTGTTCAAGTTCACACCATTTCTCATCTGGATAATTGCTATGGCAGTATCCTCCTAACTGGCCTGCTTTCCCTTCAGCTTGCTCACTTCTTGTATTTTCTCTGCAGCAGCCAAAGTGATTTTTTGTAAAGCCAAGTATGACAATGTCACTCTCCTGCTAGGGTCCTTCAGTGGCTTCACCAAACTAATTCCTGTTCATCCCTCAAGACACAGCACAGCCTAAAACCTTGCATATGTATATCACAGCACTTGTAACCCTGTGCTTGTATTGCGTTGGTTGTATCTCTCAGTAGACAGTGAGCTTCTTGAAGGTAGGAACTTTGTTTTCAATATTTGCACCTCCAGCATTTAGTGCAGTGCCTGGCACACATGTGCTCAACCAATGCTTACTGATGGTATGAAAGCCTTTAAAGGGTTTTAAATCATCCACAGTGCCTCCCACCATGCCTTATACATAGTATGTGCTCAAAAATATTTTCAATTTAATTATTCTTTACAAGATGCTTAGCACCAAACAATATGGCCTTTTTCCAATGTTGACAATTTCAAAGAGTGATACCACATACTCTGATAAAGCAAAAGCAAAGAGTTTTATTGAAGGCAAATTTATTTGCAACTGAGGAAACACACAGTCCACAAAGTGAAACTGCTGTGCTCCAAGGTGGTGCAATTACAAAGGCATGTTTACATGGTAAAATCAAGACTAACAATACAAGATTTCTGATAGGTGCTCAATGATTCAGGGAAGTGGGAGGCAGAATATCTTGAAGCAGGGATCTTAACATGATTGGTTTACAGAGTCTTTCTTGATTAGTTACTACTTGGTGACTGTAGAGGGTTTATACGGTGGTTGCAAGACATTCCTTTCTAGGAACATAGAGGTTAGATACACTGTTTGTATCAGGGCTCTTCGGGAACAAGCTGACAACATTCTTTCTTAGCTTGGTTACAAAGAAAATGTTTCCTTAGTTACAAAATTAAGTCTGTATTAAGTCTGTTTGATCTATACGAGTTAACAAAAGCAGTAAATTATTGATCCCGAGTCTGGGCTAGCAGTCCTCACCATCAAACACCCCAAAATTTAGGACTTTCACATTTCCTCCTTTTGAACAAGGATTTTGATAGAAATTCTTTGATCATACTTTCCGAGACTGTTTCCTCTGCATGGACTTTTAGTCCTTAGATGGTTACTCAATGTTATGAGCTATTAAGACTCTGGATGCTACTATTAGGTAGCCAGGCACCACCTGTGTTCTTCACCATGCCATGGCTGGACATTCTGCTTCAGTGATAGTTCATGGAGGTTAGGATGAAAGGATGGCCACATTAGGGGAATCACTTTGATGGTTGAGAGTGCCAGCTTAAGGCTTGATTCAATGTCATCTGAAAAAAAAGTTTGATCTATAAACAAAATTCTTGTATTATTTGACTGGTGAAATGAGTTCCTCAGTCACTGCAGAGAATCTTTGGAGTACCCCAAGTAGGGATGATATTTTCCAAAAGTTCCTTAGCAACAAAGGTGACAGTAGCATTCCTGCAAGGGAAAGCTTCTATCCAATGAGAAAATAAATCAAGACTAAAACATATTTATATCCATTAGAGGGGGGAAGTTGGACAAAATCAAGTTGCCATTCTAGCATGGGACCAGAAAGCAAATGATATTGTCCTGGTGGGGGTTTCAAAGATTTACTAGGATTATATAGAAGGCAGAGGGAGCATAAAGAAGTGACATGCTCCACAGCCCTGAAAAAATTTCCCCACCAATATTTCTTTAATAAGTCAATTATTTTGTCTCTCCCTAAGTGGTTATTTTGGAAACCCTGGTGGTGTAGTGGTTAAGTGCTGTGACTGCTAACCGAAACGTCGGCAGTTTGAATCCACCAGGTGCAACTTGGAAACTCTATGGGGCAGTTCTACTCTGTCCTACAGGGTCACTATGAGTTGGAATCGACTCAACAGCCATGGGTTTAAGTGGTTATTAGAGTTAGAGGTAAAAGAATGTGCGTACAGGCTTCTAGTTGGGCCCTTCCCAAGTATGGGTGTGCCAGTTCATCTGACAGCCTTCTTTTTTTTCCAATTTTCCTTCTCTTTCATAATTTGGTGGATCACAAAATTGTGCCAGATGACGCCACTAGTGTTGGAGTCGTCAATTAATAGACTATCAGACACAGCCAGGTAATTGTTAGCACAAATATAGTAGTTGCCTTTAGTAATTACAGGGGTGTGAACAATGGTAGAGGCAGCTTTCTTAGCAGCCTGGTCAGCTAAGTTATTCCCTTTAATTTCCTCAGAGGAGCCCTTTTTGGTTGATGGGCCTGAATTTTAATCATAGCAATTTCATAAAGTAGTAGTGAAGCTTCTAACAGTTCTGCTATTAATTTACCATTCTTAAAATGGTGGGTCCTGAAGAGGTCAGGAATCCCAATTTTTTCCAAAGCATTTCCAATCATCAACCACACCAAAAACATACCTCGCATCCATGTAAATATTCATGGATGTCCTTGTGGCTATTTGACAGGCCCTGGTAAGAGCTTTTAATGCAGCCTGTTGGGCTGAGGTGGCTTTAGGGATGGCTTGACTTTCAAGGATCTCAGTGGACATAGTGACAGCATATCCAGCTTGATAGTCTGAGCTGGCAGGGTCAGGTTTCAAATAAGACACATCTACAAATAATATTTGGTCAACATTTAGTAAAGGAGTCTCCTTTAGGTCCCTTCTAGGACACAACAGCTAAATCTAAACAATCATGGGGCAAATAATTGCCCTCCTTTTGCTCAGGGAGTAAGGTGGCTGGGTTTAGGTTAGTCACCACGTGTAGTTGCACAATACCTACCAGTTGCCGCTGAGTTGATTTTGACTCATAGCAACCCTTTAGAACAGAATAGAACTGCTCCATAGGGTTTCCAAGGAGTGACATTTGAACTGCCGACCTTTTGGTTAGTAGCTAAGCTCTTAACCACTTTGTCATCAGGGCTCCAGTTATACATTAGAGGTGGCTAAAAGTAAAATTTCATAAAAGGTAAGCCTATTAGCATACAGGTGTTGGGTCAGGTCTGAGTTAAGGATAGCAGACACTGCATGAGGCACATAAATGTCAATAAAGTTCCCTAAAACAATATTGGTGGCAGTTTATACCAGCTTAGCAGTTGCTGCTACTTCTCTCACGGAGGGTGGGTAAACTCTGGTCACCAGATCAAGTTGTAAACTATATTAATCAATAGGTCTCTGGTGGTCTCCATGTTTCTGCATGAGGACCCTCAAAGCACTACCTGAAAACTCAGGTACAAAAAGAGAAAAATCTAGCCTATAATTTTGAAATCCTAGAGCTAGTGTATTGATTAAAGACTCTTTTAAATCTATTATGGACTTTCTTCCTTCTTCCTGTAGTTGAAAAGGATCAGGTTCTGAAACCTTCAAATATTGGTAAACGGGCTGAGCCAGTAAAGAAAAAATTAGGAATCCAAGTCCTACAATACCACAAAATCCAAGAAAACTTCTCAGTTGTTTCTTGGTGGTAGGAATATGGTAAGCCAAAATTGCCTCTTTTCTCTTAGGGTCAATAGTAACAGGTGCTGATAAGATGATGTTGCCTAGATATATTACTGAAGGTTGGGCTAACATCAAATTTTTCATGAAGGCTTTATGACCTCCAGCAGCCAAGTGCTTTAACAATATTAGGCTGTTTTCAAAGAAATTCTGGTATGAATTTGAACAGACCAACAGATCATCTACATATTGTAATAAAACATACTGATGAGTAAACTGTAAGGACTGTGAATCTGCATGCAAAATTTGGGAAAAGTATGTCAGTGATTCAGTAAAGCCTTGAGGCACCATGGTCCAGGTAAACTGTTGATCCTCTCCAGTGAAGGCAAACAAATATTGACTTTCAGGATGAACAGGAATACTACAAAAAAAAAAACACTATACAGGTCCACTACTGTAAAGTGAGTGGCATTGGGAGGCACATTTACAAGTAGCAGATGAGGATTAGGTACTACAGGGAGTTGAGGAATGACAAGGTGATTGACAGCTCTCAAGTCTTGCACAAATCCCCATCCTCAGTCATTAGGTTTCTTTATGGGGAACACAGCAGTGTTACAGGGGCTGCTGCAGGGAATAATTAAACTTTAGATAAGAAATCTTGAATGACTGGGTTATTTCTTCCTTTGACTCATGTTTCAGAGGGTACTGGGACACTTTAGGCAAAAGTTTAGAGGTATCTACTTGGATCTTTACAAGTTCAGCGAGTAGAACCCAGCCCACATCAGTGGATGTGTAGCCCATAAAGCTTCTGGCACCAAAGAAAGTAGTTCCTTAGAAAGAAAGAAATAAGAATACTCTCTGAGGACTGGAGACTCAACTTCTGCAAATGGCAAAGAGTATCCTCCCATGTTACTTCTAAATTCCTGCTAGATAAAGAATCTGAAAAAAATCTAATAATATTTCTTCTCCTTCATTAAAGTGACTATGACAATTCCATTTGGACAGAAAGTCTCTTCCCAACAGGTTTACAGGAGTAGTCTCGCTACTAAAGAAAGGTTGTAGGTCGTCTATGAGGCCAAGGGACACAGGGACTGCTTTAGTGTGAAGCACAGTATGTACCTGATTTGTAACTCCCACAACTTTAGAGGTTTGGGTACTCTGGGGTAGGGGCTTCTGCAAATATGTGGGGTTAATTGCAGACATGGTGGCACCCGTGTCAATTAGAAATTTACAAGGTTGTCCATTAATTTGAATTGTAGTTTCTCCTTGAGATTTAAAGCTACTATGGGAAAAGCCTCTGTGCATTCTCCAGAGCCCCGTCATTCCAGCTTGGGGACGGAGGGGGTTACTGGTTGATTCCTTATTTTGTTCTTCAATTTTATACAATCCTTTTAAAAGTGCCTGGGTTTTTTTGCAGTAATAGCAAACAAAACACCTGATTTGGATGGTACAGGGGATTTGAAATCCTTCTGGCCAGGGGACTGTAACTGCTCCAATTGCAGAGCCATTAATTTGTTTGCCTTAGCAGCTTGTTTAGTTTCCACAGTTTGGGCCAGTTCATAGGCTAAGCCTGTCAATTCAGCTATGGGGGTGGCCTTCAAGTCCAGTTAATATGTCTTCACTAAGGCAGACAATTCAGAATTAAGGCCAGATATGAAAGCTGCATTAAAGGCTCTTGTCACTCAGGGGTCAAAGGAGCCAACCCGGAATGTGCAGCAAACCTTTGATATAGCCAGTCTTGATAATCATACACACTCTCATCTTTATTCTGTGTGTATGAATGAATTTTAAGTCCAATCAATTACTGGAGGAAAGGTTTTTATCAAGAGTATCCGGTAAGTTCTGTCCTTTCTTTTGGGTTTCTTTGAGTAACTCCTCAGCCATCTTGGTAGTATCTATGGCCAAACTAGCTTGGGGATCTTTCCAGTCAGCCTCTCCTAGCTATCTTTGTGCATCCCCAGGACTGACTGGCATATGCACTAATTTGATATAAATCATGTAATCCAGGCTGGTAAGCCTCAATGAAGACTTTAAATTATTTAGCAAATCGGTAGGGGTCCTTATTAAGTCTGGAAAGTCCTTAACAATGCTGTGCAGCTTGGTACGAGTCCAGAGGACAAAAAACGTGGCTGGTTCCCCAGGGAGTTCTGTAGTGCCGATCCTTGGAGCTGGGTGCTGGTTTTAAAGGGCATTTCAGGAATAGGCTTCTCCTCTTTAGGAGAACATTTAGTAAAGAAAGGAAGTTCGGAGAAGGTGTTAGTAGAACAGTAAGAAGGCAAACACAGGTACATAGAGGGCTCAGCTGGAGAGGGAGCAGAAGGTGTCAACTGAGGTGTGATAGCTGCCTAGCACTGGAGTTCTTTACATGTTTTAGTCAATTTGGAGATGGTATCCTGCATAGAAGACAATCTACTTTCCTGATGTCTTTTGGAAGCTTCTATATACCAATCTAAATATGAGCCCCATTGTGCCTGTTTAATCTAGGACTCTTTTTCTTCTAATTTACTGCACAGAAAAATGAGTTTACCGAGATCAAAAGTATTCCACAATAGTCATTGGTTCTTTAGACTATCTTTAGTTAAATTATGCCACTCGTCCAGAAACAAGCATGTACCAGGGCTGTATTGTTTGTGCACATAAGCCACAGGGGTCCCAGAGGCTGGCCTCACCAAATCCTTAGAAGTGGCATTCCCCATCCTGCTAGGAGCCTGAGCCTAAGTGCACATGCAACAAATATCTTAACATGCACACAAGAGAACAAAACAGTGAGTCCCAAGTGGGACAACTCTGAGCTGCTCTTCAAGGAGAGGTGCTGTCTTTGAGACAGCAATGTAAGGCTGTATAAATCTCTGAGACCTTTCAACAGCTAGAAAAGCGAAAGGGAGAAATTGAGAGTGGTTTATTCACCAACCAGTAGATGGCAGTGAATACATATGCAAAGCGTTTGAAGAGACAACAGAAAATGAAAGTAAAGAAATGAAGCCAACAAGAAAACCTCAGAGAACTTAACACAAAGAGAGTGGAGCCCGAGTTCAAGAGATGACTTACCCTAGACAACCTCCAGGAGTCTGGGAAGGTGGTGAGCCAAAAGGCTCTGCTGGCCAGGCCTGCATTCTCAATGTCCTGGGGTCGTGGAAGGCATCACATCTTCATATCCCCACTTCAGACACCAAGAAACGTCAAAGAGTAATACTGCATACTCTATTAAAGCAAAAGCAAAGAGTTTTATTGAAGGCAAGATACAGTTTAAACTGGGGAAACACACAGTCCACAAGGTGAAACTGCAGTACTCCAAGGTGGTGTGATTATGAAGGCATATTTATATGGTAAAATCAAGAACTAACAATTCAAAATTACTGATAGGTGCTCAATGATTCAGGGAAGTGGGAGGCAGAATATCTTGAAGCAGGGATCTTAAAATGATTGGTTTACAGAGTCTTTCTTGATTAGTCACTACTTGGTGACTGTAGGGGTGTTATAGGGCAGTTGCAAGACAATTGCAAAACATTCCTTTCTAGGAACATAGAGGTTAGATACACTTTTTGTATCAAGGCTCTTTGGGAACAAGCTGACAACATTCTTTCTTAGCTTGGTTACAAAGAAAACATTTCCTTAGTTATAATATTAACTCTGTATAAAAGTTACAAGTTAACAAAAGCAGTAAGTTATTGATTCCAAGTCTGGGCTAGCAGTCCTCACCATCAAACACCCCAAAACTAAGGACTTTCACAACAACACTTTGGCTGAAAAATCTCCATATTTATAAAATGTGGTACAAACCTGAATGAAGATTGATTATAGTCTCACGTGTATTTAACACTGGAAAGTGTTTCCGAACGATCTAATAGGAGAGAAAAAAAATCAAACAAGATATGTATAAATGGGGTTCTCTTTGTCATTTAACTGTGATAACACAGTAAGAACCAAAAATGATTGGCCATGAGACACTTAGACTTGAACCTAGCTCTCCACTCCCTTCCCTAGTCCCTCTCCTACGAAATGGGGTTGCCAGGCTGCCTACCTTACAATCACAGGGACACTCAAAGGAGATTATATATGTGAACGCACTTCGCAAACTCTTCGACTTGATGGCAATTAAAAACACAGTGCTGCAGAAATCCAAAGGCTTTACTAGTAAAAGTGAACAGTTTAACATTCGTTGGTTGCCACATCCTTAGCACTTTATATCTCTTTTCTTCTTCAGTCTTCACAACAACCAGAAAACCTAGCCGGGTAGTATCATTTCCCTCCATTTTGCAGATGAGGAAAGTAAGAGGTTAAGCAGCTAGTAGGAGATTATAGAAACAGTTAAGTGGTAGAGCAGCGACTTGAACCAGTAAATCTTGATTCTCACTCCTAGCACTAAGTTGCCGCCCTGCTTACCATTGTTGACTAGAGGTGCTGAAATCTCATCAGGGCTCAACAAGTGAGGTTCGGTAAATTGCTAATTTAAACGTAGACGCCTCACTACGACGTCTCTTCCACTCTGAGTGCCCGCTCTTCCTCTCGCGTCACCCGCCACTAGCACTCCCCCTCCCCCCCGCCGCCAGCCCGCGCCCAGGCTCCTCCCACTCCCGCCCTCTGATACTCACCTCCCTCAGCATTTCTACGCATGCGTTGGCGAGACCCGCGCAGGCTCAGTGGCCGACCGGCGCCCGGGGACTGCTTGGCCCCGCCGGTTTCAACGCCGCTGCGGCTGCTTCGGGAAGGCAGAAAAGATGAGCTAAGCCTCGGCAGCTGATAACTGTCTCCAGCGGCATTTACAGGTGCTTTGGGTCAGGCTAGAAGCCCCCGTCTCTACGCTCACTTCCCACTCGCTACCCGCCCGCTCTGCCCTCGGCAGCGGACTGGCTCAGCGGGCGGGCGGCTTCGGCGGCTCGGGCGGCTGCGGGAGGTAGTTTGTGTACAGTTGCCATGGAGACGGCGGCTGGCCTGGCGGAGCAGGCGGGAGGGCGGGCGGGGTGAGGATGCTTCTGGGCTGTGCCCTGGCCGCGACCTGTGGAACAGCAAGCATTACCCGAAGTGGGAGAGCCGCTGGCTGGGCGGGAGGGGCGGCGGTCCTCCCCGGCTCTCCGGGGACCCCGTCTACTGTCGTCCACCTTTCTGTCCCTGATGGAGGAAAGAGGCGATGGGAGTGTCCTATGCATGCTCTCCTGGGTTGGACCACTCAGCACTTCAGCTGTGTGGTACTGCGTAGAAGCTCAGTAGTATTTGTTAAAGGAAAGAATGGTAGACAAAGGGGCTTTCTTTAGGCAGACAGTGACCAGGCCAAGGTCACACAGAGCAAAAACTGATTGTCCCTGGGCTCTTCTAGGCTACGGTACAGGTAGGCCTTCAGTAAATAAGGTGTATGTGTAACAATCTATGTAAAAATACATTGTACCTACGCATAATGCCGTTTATAATCAGTTCCTACGAGTTCCGCTGCAGGTCTTATTTTAATTTGGTAGAAAAACAGGCAGCACTGTTTATTTGTATCCTGTTTTGTGAGTGTGTAAGAATCTGATTGTTGATGCGGCATAGCCAATAGCCAATCAAATACTTAATAAAAGGTCTCACAAAGGAAAACAACCCCCCATCCCATTTACATTTGAAGACTTATAAGGTGTATGAAAACTTTGACAAACAACTTCCTCTTTCTTTTGCAGTTTTCTTTTTTAAGACGCAGTTTTTCATTCATGGGAGAAATTTTGTTGTTGTTGTTGTACTTTTAGATGAAGGTTTACAGAACAAGTAGTTTCTCATGAAACAGTACACATATTGTTTTATGACATTGGTTAAAAACTCCACGACATGTCAACACTCTCCCTTCTCGACCTTGGGTTCCCTATTACCAGCTTTCCTGTTGCCTCTTGCCTTCTAGTCCTTGTCCCTGGACTGTTGTGCCCCATTAGTCTCGTTTTGTTTTATGGGGCTGCCTAATCTTTGGCTGAATGGTGAACCTCGGGAGTGACTTCATTACTGAGCTAAAAGGGTGTCCAGGGGCCATACTCTCAGGGTTTCTCCAGTCTGTGTCAGGCCAGTAAGTCTGGTCTTTTTTTGTGAATTAGAATTTTGTTCTACATTTTTCTCCAGCTCTGTCTGGAACTCTGTGTTGTGATCCTTGTCAGAGCAGTAGGTGGTAGTAGCCAGGCACCATCTAGTTGTACTGGACTCAGGCTGGTGGAGGCTGTAGTAATTGTGGTCCATTAGTCCTTTGGACTAATCTTTCTTATGGGAGAAATTTTTATTCTATTATCACCTAGCACTTGAGCAGGAATTATTAATGTTTTTTTAAGGTCCGGGCACCATGCTAAAGCACTTTACATAGATTATCTCATTTAATTCTCAAAAAAATCATGTGAGGTAAGTACTATTACTATCCACATTTTACAGGTGAGGAAACAGGTTTAGAGATGTTATAGCCTTTTCCGAAGGTTAAATAGCTAGGAATTGTCAAAGTTTGAACTCTTATTCCAGTATATATCTGTTTATAATTTATCAGTTATGACTTTGAACTTTTCCCCAGACTAGTAAGAAATAGTTTGTTTTTTAAAAAATTATCAAGGTGTCCAGTTTCAGATTTCCTACTGCTGGTAGTCTTCATCCAGTGGAGGTCCTGTGCACAAACTAGGGACATGTGATGCAAGACAGAAGTCAACCTTTCTTTTTTCCCTTCGAAGTCTGCTTCTCCATTCTTTGAAAAGATACCCTCAACCTTCCCATCCCCCTAGATTTGCCTACCCAGTGTTGCCTCTGGTCTCTTTTTTGTCTTCTCAGGTGCTACATCCTCTTGGATATCTGTGCTTGCTTGGTGCACCTGGCTTGTTCTCATCTCTCTTCTTACCTCTGTTTCACCCTCCTGTGTCTCAGGCTTTCAGTATCTCCTTCACTGTTACAGTATTTATTGAGTCCTACTCTGTGCCAGGCAACTTGAAATAAAGGCACAAATGGGAAAGAGGGTTAAATTTGAACTCAAAATATCATATGTCATCAAGAATCAGACGCCATTTGATGGAGGGCTGTGGGGACCATGGTCTCAGGAACATCTAGCTCAATTGGCATTACACAGTTTATAAAGACAATGTTCTACATTCTGCCTTGGTGAGTAGCATCTGGGGTCTTAAAAGCCTGTGAGCAGCCATCTAAGATACTCCACTGGTCTCACCCCTTCAGGAGCAACGGAGAATGAAGAGAACAGGATACAAGGAAAAGATTAGTCCAAAGGACTAATGGACCACAGCTACCAAGGCCTCCACCAGACTGAGTCCAGTACAGCTAGATGGTGCCCGGCTACCACCACTGACTGCTCTGACCAGGACCACAACAAAGGGTTCTGAACAGAGCTGGAGAAGGATGTAGAACAAAATTCTAACACGTAAAAGACCAGATTTACTGGCCTGAAGGAGACTGGAGAAACCCCAAGAGTATGGCCCACAGACACCCTTTTAGCTCAGTGGTGAAGTCACTTCTGAGGTTCACCGTTCAGCCGGGGACTGGACAGCCCCATAAAACAGAATGGGACAAATGAGGTGCAGCAGTCCAGGGACAAGGACTAGAAGGCAGAAGGAGACAGGAAAGCTAGTGATAGGGAACCCAAGGATGAGTGAGGACAGTGTTGACATGTAGTGGGGTTGTTAACCATTGTCATAGGGTAACGTGTACTAACTGTTTAATGAGAAACTATTTTGTCCTGTAAACCTTCATCTAAAGTGAGAATAGCAGCACAACTGGAAGAACGTAATCAATGTTACTGAATTGTGCATGTAGAAATTCTTGAAATGGTATATCTTTGGCTATGTATAGTTTCACCAAAAAAAAAAAAGGTCGAGAAGGGAGAGTGTCTACATGTTGTGGGGTTATTAACCAATGTCATAAAACAATATGTGTACTGACTGTTTAATGAGAAACTATTTGTTCTGTAAACCTTCACCTAAAGTGCAATAAAAAATAAAACCTTAAAAAAAAAAGAATCAGATGCCATTTGAAATAAATTCCGACATACTTTCATAATCCACTATAACAAATATATCAAAATAAAGAAGCCACGCAGCCTTCATCTGGAAATTTCTTGACTCAAGTCTATATTTGAAAGTGGAGCTCAGTGATTATTCAAATGTTGATTTTCAGTGGTACCTCACAGGGAGGATCAGAGCTCAGTCTGGTGGAGCTATACCAGGTGCTTAGGCAGTTCTAACATAGTAGGAGAAGTGTAGGGACAAAGACCACCTGGGACCTTTTGGAGCCAGGAGGAGACAGAGCGCCTGTCTCAGGCTGAGAGGGCTGGGGAGGTAGGTCCGGGAAAGCTTCCTAGAGGAAGTGACCTCTAAGAGTTAGCTAGGCCATTATATAAGAACTGCCTGATTTTGCCACTTCTAGTTTCTTCTCCATTCCATCCTGCTCATCCCTACCAGATCAAGTCACGCCTGAAAATCTTTTATTGTATTTACTCATCAGCTTTTAATTAATTGCTTGATTTGCCATTTTATTCTCTCTCTGGTCTCCTCTAATCTACATTTCCAGAGTTCCTGCTTGTCTAGCACACACCCCATACATTCCTGAGTTCCTGACGCTCTACCTTGGCTCACTCATTGACTTTGCTGGAACTTCCTCCTCTGTTTCAGCCCCAGTGCCAGCCATTGCCACTTGCCGAAATTCAACCCACTTTTCAGAACTTGACTCAAGCACCACCTCCTCCAGGAAGTCTACCTGCTGCCCCCTCCCAATCAGAAATCTCTTCCTCACTTTATCTTCCCCTCTTTTTCATTGCTCCCGTCAGTTTCTACCTTGTATAAAATCATTTGGGTACAAGTAGGACTGATACTCAGCTGGTACACACCAAGAAGGCTGTTCCAGTTGTGAAAATATTGGAATGTCCCTCTATTGGTGGGTGAATAGCTGCAGCCCCAAGGCTTCCCAGTGCCCCACCTTCCACCACCCTATCTAATCGAAACATAGTTTGAATATCATCTCTAGGTATATGTTGTAGCTTTTTTTTTTTCTTTTTTTTGCTGTTGTTTAAGATTATCCACCTCACAAAATTGTGGAGATTAATTGAGATAACGTATTTAAGAGTCCCTAGCATAGTGCTAGGTACTATAAATGTTTGGCATTAGTGTGGACCTCCTTGACTAAGGGTGGAGGCCATATTTTACTCTCTCTTTTCACAGATATTTGAGCACAGAGCTTTTCAAACAGGAACAAGTTAATAAATACTAGTTGACTAAATTTGCTCCAGTTGTCAGGAGAATTTTTGTAAAGTTAAAATTTCTCTGGTACTATTTCTGTGTTACTATTGTGTCAAGGAGCCCTGGTGGTGTAGTGGTTAAGAACTTGGCTGCTAACGGAAAGGTCGGCAGTTCGACTCCACCAGCTGCTCCTTAGAAACTCTATGGGGCAGTTCTACTCTGTCCCACAAGATAGCTATGAGTTGATACCGACTCGAAGGCAGTGGGGTTTTTTTTTCTTTTTATTGTGTCAAAGAAATTTGACAGAATTGTCACAGAAGTTGTACTATTTCGTCAAAGACTACAGCCTTCAGTATGGATTACACCTCAACGTAAAGAAAACAAAAATCTTCACAACTGGACCAATAAGTAATATCATGATAAACGGAAAAAATATTGAAGTTGTCAAGGATTTCATTTTACTTCGATCGACAATTAACACCCATGGAAGCAGCAGTCAAAAAATCAAACGACGTATTGCATTGGGCAAATCTGCTGCAAAAGACTTCTTTAAAGTGTTAAAAACAAAGATGTCCTCTTGAGGACTAAGGTGCACCTGA